CAAAAATGCGAAATTTGGGAGACATGCGAAATTTAATACTAAATTTCGCCTTTAGAGGCTTAAATTATCGCGTGTTAACTAGCGAAATATTGTGGACGAAATAGGACACCGTATAGTCTGATTTTATTGACCTGTCAATTATGCATGCATTATAGAACTTATTTAAATATTCGATCCCACTTCGGTTTGGTCCGTGTAGTTTACGAGAATTAATGTGGAGTATATTAGTCATGGATTGAAAGTCACGCCAGCTTAATGTGAAGGTTTTCGTTAATTCACAATAGTACAGTCGGTTAAGAGAATGCCTGATAAATTAGAGGTCTGTGGTTCGATCCTTGCTGTTGCCATTGTTTTAGTACTCTTTCTTTATTTTTGCCGTATATTTTAATGGAACAGTTTGTAGTGTGTTTTACAGCATTGAAAAGACATGTATTGATTTAAATCCGTTTTAATTTTAAACATGAATTCTTAAAACATGTTATTTAAAAAGAATATAGATATAACAAAATTAAGTAAAACATAATAAAACAAAACGAACATATATAGCTCCAATATTGTTGAAAGTATTTACCCTATTGCGCTATAACGCTGAGTACACTTTGTTGAGAGATACAAATTAAATTAAATTCCATCGTACAGCGTACATCTCACGGAACTTACCGAAAATCTACCGAAGATTAATATACTGTGTGCATCGACCGTGTAATCAGTATGTAATTGACAGGTTAATAAAACCAAACAATACTACCCCGTTAACATATACAAGTGTACGCAGGTACTGTGCAAGAATGTGTAGTCTTGCATAAAATACTGCGCACACAGGTGTACATTAAACACTCGTATTTGCGTTGTATATTCGTCTTTTTCCCTTTGAAGTTTATTCATCTGGAAAATATTTCGTCTCATCTGGTGGCGCGCGCCTTATAAACCTATATATGATATAGTTAAATTATATGTATCTACATCAATATGCGTACAGTATACATCAATATATATGTATACTATCCCAGATGTTGTACCGCCTCTGCTCTCATGTTGATTGTCAATGCTAACAAAAAGATTTCTCGATTATGACATAAATCATTGTGAACTTGGAAATAAAACTTAACGTGTATAATAATGGAATTAGAAAATGGATAGAATAAAAGTGAGCATGATTTAGACATGAAAATGCATGTTATAAAAAAACCCACATATATTTCGATTTTCACGCGTGTCGGAATTTAACTAATCGGTCTGAAAATTTCACACTAACTATTTTCCTTTTCATTGATTTAATATATGTTGTGTACATACGAATTTATACATTCGTTTGGTGATAATAAAGTCTTGATTAGACGTACAAAAACAGTCGCTGAAGATATTTTTATGCTACATATATAATCAATTGTTTTAACTGTTAATCAAAAGCGAATATTACAAGTGTAATATGAAATGGTCGATCATCTATATATATACATGTATGTCACTACTTTTGTCGTAATCAATTTCCTTTCTTTCAGATTTAAACATGTATTATCTTCTACTATTAGTACTAACGGAGATTATCTCTGCATCATTAATAGGTATGTAATTATATTTATCTATACATCACTTATTTCATTCATTGATTAGTTTATAAAATTATTGTTTGCATTTTATAATACTTCAAAAATACCTTTCAGAAAGAAATACAAATTATCGCAAAATACTAGTAATATTTTCTTCCCCGGAACATGTTATTCGAAGTATTCTTTGTTACAACATCTACAAGAATTGACTATAAAGTCATTTTGCAGCTCCGTATAACAGTTTCCAAATAATTACACATTGGTACGGAAGCGTCCTGGTGCCAATTCATAATGTTCTATAAAAAAATAAACTCCTACGTAGGAGATAAAAAGCCTAATTAGGAGTTTGTAACTCCTACGTAGGACTTTATAACTCCTACGTAGGAGATAAAAAAATCCTAATTAGAAGTTTGTATCTCCTACGTAGGACTTTATGACTTTATAAGAAATGCATACAGAATTCTTTGCAAATCTCAACATTCCGGACCGGTATATCGGCGAAGGAACAATACACTTAACCCCCCCCTCCCCCGGCCGAAATAATTTCAAATCTTAAATAGAGAGGACATTTCACCTTTGGTTCATACAGAATTTATTTAAGTTTGATTGATTAGGAAGCTAGAAACTTATAGACACACTTTCGAATCCGTTCCTGGAAGCAGCCAGTACGTACTTAGCAATGAGTGTAAAGTTTCTTGCTCAAGGAAACAACGGCTTGCGCCTAACGGGGTTTGAACCCATGCGGCTAGCGATCATTAGGCTACTAGTCACACGGCCATGCCGCCACACTTCACTTTTAATAAAGTGTCTCAGGTTTCTAGAGTGTACAGTGTCTTAGGGTGAGGTGTCTGTAAGCATTGGCGATGTATCCCGAAAAATTAGCTTTACAGCTATTCGAAAAAAACTTACTGGACAACAAACATATATATCAAAATTTTAAAAGGCTTTAACGATTACGTTTTCCATACGAACTAGCTGAACAAAACGAGCAATTTATCCATTTTCGGGCGTTTCAAATGATTAAATCCTTATAGGGGGCAGGGGGAGTAGTGAAGTGTCTTGTTCCTGCTCCGTAAAGTTTAAGAAGATAACGGTTTGCGGAGCATTATGCATGCATATGTTTAATAATGAATTACATTGTATATCCTACTTTGAACAAAGTTTAACCCATACATTTTGTGTACCTGTGTATAATAAATATAACTAAACGTGCTTTATACAGAATCATCGTTTAATATATGCAGAGAATGACAAAATCATCTCTGGCTACAGACTAAAGGTATTTACTAAAGCGGCTCGCCACAATTACAACTTGACACATATGAGCCGCGCCATGACAAAACCAAAATAGTGGGTTTGCGACCAGCATGGATCCAGACCAGCCTGCGCATCCGCGCAGTCTGATCAGGATCCATGCTATTCGCTCTCAGTTTCTCTACTTGTAATAGGGTTTGTAAGCGAACAGCATGGAGCCTGATCAGACTGCGCGGATGCGCAGGGCAGGCTGGTTTGGATCCATGCTGGTCGCAAATGCACTATGTTGGTTTTGTCATGGCGCGGCTCATATAATTTATTTTCCTACATAATATGCTATCTTAAGTTATACTCTAGCATACATGTCCGTCGAACTCTGTGCTTTCAGTACTTTGATATGTATCCTATGTAGGAGTTATAAAGTCCTACGTAGGAGTTTAAAAGTCCTACGTAGGAGTTACAAAGTCCTACGTAGGAGATATAAAGTCCTAATTAGGCTTTTTTTTATCTCCTACGTAGGAGTTTATTTTTTTTATAGAACATTATGAATTGGCACCAGGACGCTTCCGTACATTGGCCATATACTATCTTTTGGTTCCTAATTTGTATAATTATAGTGAGTTAGTATTTTGTATGGAAGTCAAAATACTCCTTTTGTTTACATTTTGCTACCTTTACAACACAATATTTCACACCCAACTCTACTTCTGCAGTTGTTTCACATCTAAGATGCTCTAAAACATTATTTAAAGTTAACATATCTGACCTTTCTAAAGAATTAAAAATTATTGATTTATGAGGCACGGTATGCCTTTAATTTTATATAAAATTTCATAATCTGTAGTTCTACACGCTTCAAAACACACCGAACTTACTGTTCCGAATCATGATAAGTTTAAACATTATACATACTTGAGTCGGTCTCAAGTCGGCTTATTTTAACTAAATAGTACTGATTCCATTTGAGGCAATATGATCATGACCTGAGTACGGCCCTGACTCCTGATCTCTGAATATTAAGCCTTCGTTCACCATTCCTATTTTCGACTTGTACAATTTTGTGTGTTTCGTATTCGCATTGTACCTCTGCCCTGGCATGTACAGATGAAATATGAATTCCTTGCGAAAGTGAAGGCAACTAGTACTGGTAAAAGTACTTGACAGCCATCCAGGAATGATGCGGTGGCTGGACTGTGCTCTGGTGAATTCAATGTGGCTAGATGCCGAGAGTAAATTACGAACATCACACTAATATTTTTAAGTTCATGCAAATGACGATTGGTACACTATGCATATTCTTAATTTCGTATGAATTAAGCAGCAAATGGAACAGACTAGTAGGCGTCCACAATGAAGTCTTTATGTACAAATGTTAAAATAGAGCATGAGGATTTCCAGAAATGCTTTAATGTTGTAATTTTGATGTATTTTACTCTGCAATACACAATTTTTTCCTCCGTCATATAGCCGTAGACTTCCGGTTTATAACATGTTACAATGAATTTTTTCCAGGTATTTCCGACGATGACACAAATATTGGTAAATATGATATGCTTCTTACGACCATCTTTATTAGTTCATATTTACTGGATCTTTTTGTCTTTATCACATATTAATCGCATATTATGATATGAAAATGACTTGGATTGCGTATCTGGCATCAAAGTACAATATCTGATAAAAAAATAAATAAAAGAATACAAATTTGTGTATATATACTACATGTTTTCAAAAAACGCCGTTGACATTTTCCACACATGTTTACTTCTGAAAGCTTGATTTATAATAATTTTTTAATTTTTATAATGTAAAGGACTTCCCATTGACAACATTTAAAATTTTTGGGTTTTGAACTGAAAATACATGTCTTTTTAACATTCGGCAATTATGGTGTATCCCTGGCGCTTGTAAAAAGCGTATCCAAGCAATTTAGGTCATTTAAAACCGGGTGAGACTTTTTCTCTGGGCTGGGTTTTGTTGACAATTTAAAATAACGATATAAGAAAAAAAAAAGTTGGCTTCAGATAAACATATTCGTAAAACCCCAGTAATAGGTCTCTTTACAAGGGGAATGGCGAAATATATGTAGGGGGAATGTGGATGTTTTTCTTCAGTTGTAACAACACGACGATTATTTATAATGATCTCGGACTTAATACGTATTGAAAGTAGTACTACCACATCGTTTTATAACAGATGACAATGTGTAACGAATGTATGTATTTGTCATCAAAGGGGACATAAATTATGTTTCTACAATCATAATCAAGTTAAAAAACGCCCTCTGATGTTCAATTATAACGAAATTGGAATAAATAGTATGTACGTTCGGTTTTTTCAACCGTAATTTTAAGAATATAATTGATGTACGGTCTACTTTTATATCTAAAAATTTACTAGATTTAGGTGAACTTTTTTTACTCGATATATATTTATTTGAATAAACTTAGACAACAACTCCCAGCATAGGCCCTAAACCTTAATACACGTCATAGATGGGCCAGAAGGTGATAATCGGCCCTGAAATGTATAATGCCCTCGAGCTTAAGCCCTCGGGGCCATTATTCACTTTGCGGGTCGACTCTGATGAAGTTGCTCTCATTATTAACAAATAATAATTTTACCCAAAGTTTTGTAAATAATTTTAAGAACGTGCCAATGGTTTATGCTTCACGAATTAGTACAATTCACTGTGATCCTTTGTCATCTTATATTATTAGTTTCTTAGTTACAATTGTTCAAACAGACGTGTACGTATTATAAGAAGATGGCCAGTTACAAAACCATTACTGCTTTGGCCGAAAATCTGAAATCACTTTTACCAAAAAATATATATACATACATGCTTGCGGTATTGTTCCAACGATTTCAGAATTTAAACCGAAACGGCATGTGGTAGAGTATACTGAGCTTTGATTTTACAGGGACACGATTCTTCACTTAAAACCCGAAAATATAAATCATCAAATGAACGTTGACATTTTCAACAACGTGACAAATCTTCTAAAATCAACATTTCCAAGAATGCCGGTTTATCCTTCTTTTGGTAACCATGACACCGATGTCACGGACCAGTTTGAGCCAAGAAATACATTATTATATAAACAAGCATGGTCAAGATGGCGTAGCTGGATTAATGACGACATTCAGGAGGCAACTTGTAGGAAAGGTATATCGTCCCCGAGGTGAACGTTTCTTTATTTTATGATAATCAGTGTGATGGAGTAGTAATTTAATCCATATCACCTACATGTACGTTGTGGGTGATATATCGCTGCCGAACTATTTTTTGACGTACGTTTTCATTTTTAAGATTCCGTAAATTTGTAGATTTACATAAAACAGCTTATTTTCTTTTGTATTTATTTTTGTTTAAAATGGCATTACTTTTGTTTGTGTAACATTTACTTAACCGTTAAAGTCTTTCGTCATCTCCTTGACGTTAGTTTTTGAAAACACTTGAAAAATGCTGTTATTATACTTCATGCTATATATTACACTGAAAAGTGAGGTAACTGCAATATTTTCACGTTTTTTCTTCAATATCATTGTATTAAAGGTTTTCTATACGGTACTGCCATTAAATGGTTTTAATTTAGCATGGTTATGATTTAAAGTCACCCATTTATCTCTTTTTTTTCTTTCTAACTGCACCTTCACCGTGGAACAAAGAGAGGATATCGAATTATTTTGCCTCTTAATGTGCATCGTTTGTCTAATACACAATAAAGCACCGTCTCGTAGATTTATTTTCTCTTGTCTTAAGATTTTACATTTGTCAATTATCCATTCTTTTCTATTGCGTTAGATCCATTTACAATTTTGCAGGTGGGTATTACACAGTGAAAGCTTCACCTTACCTCAGGATCATTGTTTTAAACACAATTCTTTATTACAAACGAAACAAACAGGTGACCTCAGATGGTGATCCGGCAGGTCAATTTCGTTGGCTTGTTGATGCATTACAGTATGCACGAAAACAAGAAGAAAAGGTAAGATACAAAACTATTTTAGAAAGAAAGGAAAAGTTTATGATGGAACGTTCGTTAAATCAGTTTATAATTAAAATGCACTGAAGGAAAAGCTTTTTTAACTGAATTTACATAAGTTATTAATATATTTAAAATTTCATTCAAATCAAGATTTCATAGTATGATTAGATTCTGCAAAATGTATCCATTACAGGGATGAGATTCTTTTTTCAAGTTTAACATTACATGTATATTACTTTGTATATACAACAACATAATTTGACAGAACAGACAATTATACTATCACATGGAATATCTGATTAATTACAGAAAGTTACCAAAATATATTAAGATTTAGATAAAATTTGAATAAAAAATCCTTAAAATGTCTCAATTATCCATATTTTTTAATTTATCAATTGCGTTGAATGTGAAGTAAAGGCAGCAAAATGTAAACAAAGTAGTAATGTATTTTTACTTTTTATACAAAAAATTTTTTAAAAATATTTATCCCCTTTTCTACAAGCAAAAGGTTAAAGTTGGGGCATCTGTGTGGCAAATGAAAATGTTTTGGAAACTGTAACAAAACTGTAACAGAATACAAAAAAAAAATGTTTGAGAAATGAAAATGATAGCCTTTCTGAGGTATAATGGGCCTTCAAGCTGCCTGAATTTGTATAATTAAAACATGAAACTGTCCACTGTACTATTTAGGGATTTCAAAACTATTATATATAGTGTATTTGCAATACAAGAAAGAGCAGACCGGTTTTGTTTAACACTGGTGACAGACACCCGATCATTGCTGCTTACAGGAATTCTAAGAATGAATAAAGAATATTATAAGAAATTATTCTAATTAGTACTCTAGAGAAATTGTACAAAAGTGTCTTATCTGCAAATATTCCCTTACTAACAGTAAAACGTTGCAGAATTTACTGGAACGAGATAGCGCATCAGTATCACGAAATATAAAGTTCTTCTGTAAGCTATTGTTTTACCATAATTGTTTATGATGGTAAAGTATGTGAGAAGTTAGCAGTGAACAGTGAGCTAAGCAAAAAGGCATTTTTATTTATATAGGGAAGTCAATGATCTGCTGTAATGCTCAGCTGTTTTTGGGCATCTAGCAGGACATTCCTAAATATTGTGTAAAAATGTTCTGCTGCAATACTCAGCTGTCTTCGCAATCTAGCAGAGCATTCCTAGCTTTAGTGAAAAAATGCTCTGCTGTGGAACGCTCAGCTGGCTAGGCAATCTAGCAGTGCATTACTAAATATAATGTTAAAATGCTCTGCTGGAATGCTCAGGTGGCTAGGCAATCTAGCAGGGCATTCCTAAATATAGTGTTAAAATGCTTTACTGGAATGCTAAGCTGGCTAGGCAATCTAGCAGGGCATTACTAAATATAGTGAAAAAATGCTTTGCTGGAATGCTAAGCTGGTTAGGCAATCTAGCAGGGCATTACTAAATATAGTGTAAAAATGCTCTGCTGGAATGCTAAGCTGGCTAGGCAATCTAGCAAGGCATTACTAAATAAAGTGTAAAAGTGCTCTGCTGGCTAGGCAATCTAGCAGGGCATAACTAAATATAGTGTACAAATGCGATTCTGGAATGCTAAGCTGGCTAGGCAATCTAGCGGAGCATTCCTAGTTATAGTGAAAAAACGCTTCGCTGGAATGCTTAGCTGGCTAGGCAATCTAGCAGGGTGTTACTAAATATAGGGTAAAAATGCTCTGCTGGAATGCTAAGCTGGGTAGGCAATCTAGCAGGGCATTACTAAATATAGTGTAAAAATGCTCTGCTGGAATGCTAAGCTGGCTAAGATTGATTCTCGGACACTCGCAGACTTTCAGGAATGGTTGGTGCCAATGGAAATAATCATATTTTTGACTTCAAGGGACCTTTAAGAGTCCATTTCATTGGCCAGCAGCGTATTTTTGGACACTCGCAGACTTTCAGGAAAGTTTGGTGCCATTAGAGATAATGGCAATTTTTACTTCTAGGGACCCGCCATAGTCCATTTTTATGGTCTGCGACTGATTCTGGGACATTCGCAAACTTTCAGGAATCTGTGGTGCCAATTGAGATAATGACATTTTTGACTTCTAGCGACCCACCAGAGTTCATTTCGCTGGTCTGCGACTGATTTTGGAACACTCGCAGACTTTCTTTCAGGAATTAAGATGCCAATGGAGATAATGATATTTCTGACTTCTAGGGAACCGCCAGAGTACATTTCTTGGGTCTGCGACTGATTCTTTGAGACTCGCAGACTTTCAGGATGTTAAGTGCCATTGCAGATCCTGACATGTTTTACTTTTACGGACCCGAAGTCATAAGCAGAGCATTTTTACTCTAAAATGTTATTATCTGCATTAGCACCAAAAATTCCTGAAAGTCTGCAAGTGCCCAATAATCAGTCGCAGACCAACGAAATAGACTCTGGATGGTCAAAAAATGTCAACATTGTAATTATCTCTATTGGCACCAAAAATTCCTGAAAGTCTGTGAGTGCTTTAGAATCAGTCGCAGACCAAATAAATGGATTCAGGAAGGTCCCACTAAGTCAAAAATATAATTTTCTGCATTGTCACCAAAATTCCTGAAAGTCTGCGAGTGACTCAGAATCAGTCGCAGACCAACGAAAGTAAACGAAGTAAACATGTCATTATCTCCATTGGCACCAAAAATTTCTGAAAGTCTGCGAGTGTTCTAGAAACATTCGCAGACCAACGAAATGGTCTGCTGGATTGCCTAGCCAGCTGAGCATTTTTAACACTATATTTAGGAATGCCCTTCTAGATTGCCTAGCCAGATGAGCAATTCGGCAGAGCATTTTTACACTATATTTAGGAATGTCCTGCTAGATTGCCTAACCAGCTGAGCCTACCAGCAGATCATGTTAACACTATATTTTGAAATGCCCCGCTAGATTGCTTAGCCAGCTGAGCATAACAGCAGAGCATTTTACACTATATTTTGGAATGCCCCGCTAGATTGCCTAGCCAGTTGAGCATAACAGCAGATCATTTTTACACTATATTTTGGCATGCCCTGCTAGATTACTTAGCCAGCTAAGCATAACAGCAGAGCATTTTTACACTATATTTTGGAATGCCCCGCTTGATTGCTTAGCCAGCTATGCATAACAGCAGATCATTTTTACATTATATTTTGGAATGCCCTGTTAGATTGCTTAGCCAGCTGAGTATAACAGCAGAGTATCTTTTACACTATATTTAGGAATGCCGTGCTAGATTGCCTAGCCAGCTGAGCATACCAGCAAATCATTTTGTACACTATATGTTGGAATGCCCCGCTTGATTGCTCAGCCAGCTGAGCATACCAGGAGAGCATTTTTGCACTATATTTTGGAATGCCCCGCTAGATTGCTTAGCCAGCTAAGCATACCAGCAGAGTATTTCTACGCTATATTTTGGAATGCCCCGCTAAATTGCCTAGCCAGCTGAGCATACCAGCAGAGAATTTTGACACTATATTTAGGAATGGCCTGCTAGATTGCTTAGCCAGCTGAGCATACCAGCAAAGCATTTCTACACTTTATTTTGGAATGCTCTGCTAGATTGCTTACCCAGCTGAGCATAACAGCAGATCATTGATTTCCCTATATAAATCGTAATGCCTTTTTGCTTAGCTAACTTCTCACATACGATGGTAAAGCAAAACACTTTGATAAAATATGATTGCAACTATCATGTTATTAGAGTTAATATTTAATTGTAATGATAATTGAGCCGCGCCATGACAATACAACATCATGTGTTTGCGAACACCATGGATCCAGACCAGCCAGCGCATCCGCGCAGTCAGATCAGGATCCATGCTGTTCGCTATCAGTTTCTCTACCTTTTATGGGGTTTGTAAGCGAACAACATGGATCCTGATTAGACTGCGCGGATGTGCAGGCTGGTCTGGTTCCAAGCTGGTCGCATACGCATGTTGGTTTTGTCGTGACACGGCTCATATGTACATAATTTTTAGGTTATAATCACGGCTCATATACCGCTGGGAGTTCAACCAAACGGTGAAACAGAATTATACAAACATCAGAATGATCGACTCATCGAAATATCAAATCAATATTCTGACGTCATTGTAGCCATGCATTTTGGACATGAACATACAGATGCCTTTAAAGTGCTAACAGATGAAAAGGGTAATGAAAAGTGTACTTCTTGAAGATTTTGAAATGAAAAAAAAAATATGCACACTATTTTAATAATAACTTAGCATTTCATGTAAATAAAGTCTAAGTAAGTTTTTTTTTCAATAAAAATGAATGCCTTATTTTTAACGTTTAATCATAATGTACGTAAATATTTGCTGTACATATTTAACATATTCCCGGATGTTTTGAAATTATCTTACAAGAATATATTGATATTGTGGACTAGAAGGGAAATAAATGACATTTAGAAAATATGGACTGGAAAAGAATGAATACATGTACACATATATGAAAAGCTTCACTTAATTATATGTTTCATCCTTAATTACAACATAAATGATCTTTAATTTTCAGGCCATCGTGGCCTTCTTAGAGAGCCTTACAATCAAAGGCAAAAATGTAAATCACTCTTCAAGAACAAAGATGAAGTTTGAGCGCTTCGAACGGCTTTATATATATATAATAAATATCATTGCGTTCATTGCGAAGACCAGTATAATGTAACTGGTTAGATAGGGTTCACATAAACACGGACATTATTATATAATTACAATATTAAAAAAACAAAACTTTTCTTGCATTTTCAGGGGTACCCACTGTACCTATATTTTTAGCGCCGTCGGTGTCTCCACTTGGATATTCTCTTTCACATAATCCGGGCATACGTCTTATTAAATATAATCGAATAACCGGATTACATTTAGAAATCATTCAATATTTCCTTGACGTAGAAGCGGCGAATATTGCGGGCACTGCATCATGGGAACTCGAATATTCAACTTCCGGTGCGTACGGTTTAAATAATCTGTCTCCCGGATCACTGTTTTCATTGATTAACCGAATGAAAGCAGCCGACAGCCAAGAATTCAAGAGCTTTTGGAAACATTACGTTGTTACCCCGCCCAAGAGCTTATTTAAGGAATGTGACTCAAAATGTCATGCAAGGGTGTTTTGTAGATTTTCAAAGCTTACGGAAAGCGATTTTGCAAAATGCTTACAGGAATTTGATGTCGATAATATTCAAAAATTTTGGAGATGGTTTTTCAGAAGATAATTTTCAAGGACTATATAATAAAAAAATCATATGCAATGTTTTCTTTCTTCGAGTTTTGTCATATTTAGCATAGGGTTTTATCTTTTTGTAAGAAATGTTCTATATTAATCTTACCATTTTATTTGGACATAAAATATTTTATTTCCAAGATAATCTACGGTGCTGGGACGTTATTACTTATATACGTAGATTGGTTATTTGTGTCTATTTATGCGATCAAACACATAAAGCTGTGAAATTACCAATGTTTTGAATAGGTTGAATGGTTTGAAATTACACAGCACTTTTTTAAAGTCCCAAATTCCCCCAAATAGGGGGAGGGGGAAAAGTGGGTTCATATCCCCGGGCCTTTTTCACTTTGGGGGGGGGGAATATAACAATCCTCCTAAAGATATGTCCATAACTTTCTCATATAAAAAATTCAGTGCCTCTTGCAGCATTGGAGCTGGAAAATATGTCCTATGGCAGCAAGTAAAACAGGCACGTCTTTTACAATTAGAAATTGCTTTAAGGCTGATACAATTTGAATGGAAAAATGGTATTATGGACTAGAATGGAAATGAATGACATTTATAAAATATGTACTTGAAAAAAATGGAAAAATTGGAAAATAATAAATGAAGTTTTGACGGTATGGACCGGAAAAATGAATGACGTTTGAACAATATTGACTGAAAAACAATGAATAACGTATGACAAAGAATGAACGGCGTTTGGACGGACCCGTCGGTTTTCAATCCTTTTGTACTGATTTTATTTTCATTTTGAAAGTTTTGCTCAAGTTTAATGAAACTACTTGTTTATTAAGCAAAAGGTATAGGGATATAATCTGATAAAACGTAAACTGTCGTGGGTAAGGTTTTTGTAAATGCAAATATTATTAACATTTTTTGCAGGTGTAATCAAATTTTACACTTAAGTGACACCACCTGTGGCTATTTTACACTTGAATATGAGATGTGAAAAGATAAAGCGTATGCACTGTTGAAGAAACCCTCAGATTTTTAATTAATACTATTATGGCGCGTTTTGGCTTGTGAAAATTTCTATGATATTATTTGGTTGAGATTGAAATATTTTGCTTAAATCTGGATTTTAAGGCTAGAGATCAAAATATTTAGGTAACGAATATTACTTTGAATTCAAATTAACAGCTGCAATAGAAAAGTCGCTCTTATATTAATAATGTGTATTTGAATTTGTTAAAAGAAACCTCAGTTTTTGTATTTCGTGGAAACAAAATTTTATTTTATCGTGTGTTCTTTGAAAACAGTACGAGTATTCCCATAAAATGCAAAATTATATCTGTAATATTATCAAATACGATTTGCATATATAAATAAGTAATCCACTTAAAAACACGGAATAAATCGTCCTTTTTTCGGACAGAATCGTTTTAATTAGATACGTTATAAGCGGCATTCAGCTTTTCTAAAGGATAAATTAATATTGTGCCCTTAAATAAATCGTTTCATATGATTGTCAAATAAAGTTAAAATTGATGATATTAAAATAAGTTAAGGGGCCGATCTGTTTTCTATGGTGGCTGATTTGTGCCATTTTGCGTTTTCGCCCCGCGACCCCGCCAATCGAAAAGTCGAGAATTAACAAGTTAAAATGGAGGGGCGCGAATTGCACAAATCAGCCACAATAGTTTCCCGATCGATTTCTACCGCGTGATAGAAAGCTCCCGGAGATGGATAAGCAGTGATGTATAAGATGCACTTTTACAATATAAAATTACTGGAATACTTAGTTTGAAACAACTCAGAACTGTTTAATTTTTTGCCAACAGAAAATAAAAGCTGAAGGCCACTTTAAACATAATCATTATCTTAATCGCTTTCGTTGGATACGTTCGTTCACAACATTTATTTTTCATAGCATGTATCGTAACTTCCCTATCAAAAATGATATTTTAAACATTATGCTGTAAATAACCTTTCCAAGTGAAAAAAAAATATGTTTGAGAAATTAGTTTTGATTACCAGGTTTGAAGGAAAATACATTCGACATAAATTCGGCACAATTCGCCACCCCTTGTCATTATTTCAAAGATATGCTGTCGCATGTATTATCGTTCATTTACAAATATATAGCCAATACTTATATTTGTTTGTAAAATGCATGCCCTTGTTTTATTACAGTGACAAATGCATTTTATAATAATAAAAAAAATAATTTTAAAGTGAAAATGTATAAGTATCCAAATCCAGTGTGCATCACTTCTAAATTAAAAACATGCTGCAAATATTAGACAATACATTTTTCTTATAAACATTCGTGATTGTTTAATTATCTTTATTTTTGTTCAAAAATAAAATTTCGTTCACAATCAATTTTGTTTTGATTTAATGTGATATGAACGAATTTCACGTGAGCCGGAGCACGTGTAGATTTCTTGAAGCAAAATATAATTCCCATACACCGGATGACGTACTAATAATGCATTCCTGAGTTGCATTTCTTAGAAACAACATATTTTCTCAAGAAAGTGTACTTTGCATTTATTTTGCAGAAGCAGTACTGTAAACAGATGTCATGTTTAGGAAAAAGGTTAAAATTGTAGTATTACGAGTGTTAATGTTCTTTTCTTAAATGCCTCATACATGTGTGTTTTTATTGATTTACTTTCAATTTCAGGATGTCATTTGACACAAACTGTTATAGCTAAATATAGATTCTATTTACATTTTTTGCTTAGCACTATATAATCTTCTAGAATAAGAGTTCATATTTAAGGCACGTCTTAATGATTATATAATTTAGATTACAAAGTATTAATAATACATTAATTATTGTTAGTAATATATAATTATGTGAATGTAATTCAATTTATTCTATTTCTCTCGGTGCATCATACATGATACAAACATAAGTTATGGTAAGTGACTATTTGTAAAAGACAGCAGATGTGCTTGGCAAGTCATTACAGAAAACAGAGAATGTACAGAGAATAATTAAAATCCATAAAAAGATTTACCATTGTTATTTTCTTTCTTGGAATCTCTAACATTACTCCCAAATTGAATAGTAAATAAATGATAACCATAAAAGAAAAGCTTGTTTTGAAAGTTGATTTGCAAAAAAAATGATTCTTCGTCGTCTATAAACTCAAGTATACAGTACACAACTTAATGCTATTGTAATACATTTTTTTACTGTAGAAAGAAATTATTTAACTGAATACTGATAATATTGTGTGAAACGTGCAATACAATCACAGTGTATAGTGTAAATAGTATAATAGTGTACCATGTAGAAATGTGTATTATATAGTTAATCAAGATTATACCTCTACTTTTAACGGTTTAGTTTATAATGTCCTGGATGAACTTTTGTTTAAATTCAACAGATTGCAAGGTTATTAGCTATGTGTTTGCTTTAAAAAGGCTTGTATTTGGTTATCACAAATAATCAGTAAGGGGGACTACCCTTTGTAAATGAAGTGTACTGAACACATCTATTTCTTCCCATGACAACAAATGAGAGATGATATGTACGTTAACCCTTTACCTCATATATACGCGAAACAACGCACTTTCGACCCCCCCCCTTTTTAGGCCTGAAATAGTGAAAAAATGTCCTATTTGGGCCGAAAACATGTTTTCGTTTGAGAAATGTTGCTAAAAAAAGTGACCACTTTTTCGGCGCCGCCCGCATCCAAAAAATACACCAGGGGGTTGCCAGAAGGGGGATGTACCCCCTTCTGTTTGGGGGGTTTGAAGGGGGCGGAGTCCCCCTTATCGCCAAGAAAATTTTGGACTTGTGAGAGGCTTAAAATGGCCCCAGGTCGATCATAAGGTAACGTGTAACCAACGCTGAAAAGCCTTTGACTCTATCTCAATCCCTTGAGAAGTTGCAGCACTTTGAAATAAATTTTGATGGAAAAAATCGAGGCAAAATAGTGATTTTTGGCAATTTTGAGATGTCCCCTCGTTGCCATGGTAACAGTAAATTTAAGACTGAGCATGTCGTTACAAAGGCAATGGTCCAGTCAACATTTGTGCCAAGTTTGATTAGTATTGAAGCATTTTTCATAGTTTCATAGCAGTTTGGACTTGTAAGAGGAGGCTTTTCAGTGAAAATGGCCATTTTTCACAATATGCTCATGGGGGAAAGGGTTAAGACATCAACAACAACATTAATTTATATTCCATAATATATAAAGCATTAACAATATATTGGTTATTATCGACTGTCGAGGCTGTGATAAACGCCACTAAGGCCGATCCTATAATATTTTCAAACCTTGCGTTAATTTCGAATGTAAATTCTATATATTATATAAAATTGCTGTTGGGTAAAGATCACAGCAACGAGGTTGGGAACAAAATGATGAAGCAAAAAAAAAATCTACGTTCGCGATAATTTCATGCACATGTATAACTACATGTATAAATGTACAAATAAGTTGCTCCCTGCTGAAATTCCTTTAAGGATGGGGTCAATTTTCAACAATTTTCACCATTGATAAAAGCGATAAAAAGGTAAGTCTAAACGGAAATTAAAAACTTTAATTGCGAGTTAAACTATTTATAATCGCATTGCGAAAAGGGGGAAATTTTTTATATCGCCGACAGTCATACTGGAGATCCGGTTAACTGATATTTCACGGTAATGATATAAAATATACAACTGCTGTGCTGTATGTATCCGTTAACCGGAGGAGGAAGTTTAAAACGTTACATACCCCTTAAACACTGTATGAATTAAAAATACCCAAGGTCCTTCTGCACATTCATAGTCACGGTAAACTATTTCAGTAAACAATTTTAGTAAAGAGTGGAGTTTAATGTTAATCGTATTGCTTATTATATACATTTTAGTTGTTATTCATGACCACAGGAGTGAATGTTTTATACATTTTAACTGTGCATTAGTGTCTCATATTGAGTTTAATTCTGTAATAAATACTCTAGAAGTATATTTAAGAAAAGAAGGATATTATATATATACGCGGTAAATTAACGGTAAGAATGATATTTGTGTCTTAACATCGTGGTCATTTGCATCTTTTAAGAACGAACATGAGTATACGTGATGGTAGCATAGTGGTATCTGCCACATAAACAAGTGATGTTGATTCTAGTTCATTCCCGGGTTCCGACCATATTAAGGTACCTGTTAGTTTCTAATATATGTTGAATGCAGCAGAATACTGTATCTAGAAATATTAGATTTTTTACCCTTTTTTGTATTTTTGTAAATTTTCATTTATAGATTGTAAAACTATATACTTGTTTAAAGTTATAGACACTAAATTAATTAGGTGTCAGTTCTGAGCCCT